AGAGAGAGAGAGAGAGAGAGAGAGAGAGAGAGAGAGAGAGAGAGAGAGAGAGAGAGAGAGAGAGAGACGATGGAATAGTAGATGCGGGAGAAGGTGAAGGGAAAGAGAGAAGAATGCGATCAAAAGTGCAAAGGAGAGAGAGAGAGAGAGAGAGAGAGAGAGAGAGAGAGAGAGAGAGAGAGAGAGATGCGATGAAAATGGATATGAGGGAGAAGGTAGAGATGCGGGAGAAATTGAAGGGAAAGGCTGGAAAGCGATAAAAGGCCGAAAGAGAAGAGGGAGAGAGAGCGGGAGAGAGAGAGGGAATGGCTGGAAAGCGATAAAACACCCAAAGAAAACAGAAAAGAGATAGATAGATAGATAGAGAGAGAGAGATATGGAACGGTTTTCACCTTTTAGTAGTAGCAGATGCAGTACCCAGGGTTCGATCCCTAGACCTTGCCCTACCCATGTACAGTACCGGTGTAGACCCCGAGAGTTGAACGTGTGACCTGTATATTCGTAGACAATTGGTAGGTCTGTCATAGGTCCATACGTAGCAGGGGTTTGATCTGTAGGTCTATAGAGTAGAAGTCTTGGCAAGTTCCAGAAGTCTAGTTGTAGTCCTTCTAGAAGGTCAGCAAGTGGGCAAGTGGGCAAGTGGTGAGTCAAGTGGTGGACTAAACTGCAGTGCAATCGCAGTACGACTACGGTAGGTTAGCAGTGAGTCCACAGTCAGTCAGTGGTAAGGTCCAGTCAGTCCCAGTCCGGTCCTGCAAGTACCACGGGGGACTGTGAGCACCATGGGCCGATGGAAAGGGGCAGACCACCGAGTTTCAGAAGTATAAATCAAGAGGTAGCGCCCAGCCATTCATTCATTCCTGCGGGAGCCATGTGGAAGCGCTGCCACAGCGACTTGTGCAAGGAGGTCTGCAGTGAGCCCGAAGGACGCAGTGGGCGAGAGAGGAGGAGCTTAGCATAGTGATAGGGTAGAGGCAGCCATAGCTGCCATAGCTATAGTTAGTGTGAAGTGTCCGGTGTATGTGAACAGCGAGTTGTTTGGGCGCTGAGTCGCCATAGCCAATTGGAAGTGAACTCGTATTTGGATGTCATATCTCTGAGTTTTGAGTGGGCGCATGTCGCCAGTTTGCTGTGCTGCTGTTTACATGCATGAAAAGTGTGAATAAGAACGAGTCTGATTGCATTGGTATCGGAGGTGGTACCCGCTATTCCATGCTCGCCGAGTTGTATGTCGCAGGGTGATGCGCCATAGCAGAGGTGGCCGCCGAGGGTTATAATCCGCCATAGCGGATCCGGAGGTGGGAGAAGCCGCCGCGCACCTGCAGAGAAGACCACGACGAAGAGAGAGAGAGCGAAAGGTTGAGCGATACAAGATTGGGATAATACATACAAGCTGCGATGAAGATATTGTTACAGCGATAGAGAGAGAGGGAGAGAGAGAGAGAGAGAGAGAGAGAGAGAGAGAGAGAGAGAGATGATCGATACAAGTTTGGTTGTTACATACCTGTGAAGCGGACTGTGCAGTCCCACGTGGAGGAAGGAGAAGCGGCCATAGCCGCGAAGTATCACCACGGAGTAACGAAGGAGGGAGAGAGGCCGGACAGAGGGGGAGAGACCGAGAAGGGAGAGAAAGAGGCCATAGCCGAGAGGTGAAGAGAGGGCCGATCAAAAAAAAAAAAGAAGAAGAAGACAGCCGGGGTGAAAGGAGGCGAGGAAGGTGAAAGGGGAGAAAGAGGTTGGTGAGGAAAGAGAAGCCGACAGCCATAGCTGATCGGAGGGTTGACCGGCGTTGATTGGAGTTGACCGGGGTATGATCGGGAGTTGACCACAACGTTGACCGGCGTTGACCAAGACTTTGACCAAGCTGGAGCCGGTAACATCTCGCCAAGCCTTCAGCCTGTCCCTCGCCCTATGGATGTGCACACACCCCTTGGTACTTGCTGAGTCCTGTCTGTCTGTCTATTCTTTCTGCATCGAGTCTCTTCTGTCCTAGGTGATAGTACTTTGTGGATGAAGGATAGGGTCTTGTTGACCAAACCCACACGGGATGAGTAGGGCTAAAAGCTGTGTCTGACGACTCGACTGTCCCGGAGGACACGAACCCTCCCAAGGACCGGTACTGACCGGCGGGCTGCTYGGTGTGGCACGGTAGGCCCGAAATCCGAGCTGTGGGCTTCACAACAGACCGTCTAAGTCTTGAGAGACCTGCTGATCGCGTCGTCCTGTCTGTGACGTTAAATAATTCTTGAGGAGTTTGGGGGATCTCCTTAAATGCCTCCTGATCAACAACAGGTTTAGTAGTGACAGCCATAGTGTAGGTCTGGGCTAGAGACCATAGTTGACAGGATCCCTGTCCGGATTCTGTGAGTCTTAGATTGAGTCCGTAGGTCAGTCAGTCAGGGGTCAAAGTCTACGTGGTGAGGTTTGGAACCACTAATTCAGTTGTACACCTATCACCATGGTGGACTTGCGTAGTGGGAAAAGTACTAGCCCATACACCCCTGAGCAGCAAGAGAAAATGGCCGCCTTAGTGAGAGAAAACAAGGAGAGGAAAGAGCTCGAGAAGCAGGCGAAGTTAAAGGCTATCGCGGAGGAGCAGGCGGCTAAGATGAAGAGGTTGGAGGAGGAGATGAAGGGGGTTCAACAGGAAGAGGAAGAGAGGAGAAAGGCTGCTGAAGAAGAAGCAGCAGCAGAAGAAGAAAAAAAAAGAAAACGTATTGAAGGAGGAGAAGGGAGTAGTGGCACAAAGAGGGATACAGACGCAGAGATGGAGAAGAGGATAAGTGAGTGGGTCGCTAATTTATCGTTGGGAGAAGACGAGGAGGCGGAGTCTTATGTGACTCAGGATGAGAGGGATGCGCTAGCTAGTGAGCTAGCAGCAATGGAGGACCCTATGGAACGGCGAGAAAGGGAGGAGGAGCAGAAGTTGGCATGGAAATTGAGGATGAAGAGGGAAAAGAAGAGGAGGAGAGAGGAAGTCAACAAACTGACCGCAGAGGTGGCGAAGGTGCAGGACTGTAGGAAAGAAGTCCAGGCCCAGACAGGTGATAAGGCCAAATGGGATAAGGTATTGGGGTACCTGGAGGTGCTGAGCACATCATGAATGGAGGAGCGCCAAGCCAGTTGGAGCCAAGAAGTAGCCTTGAGTGCCATGCGGTCGGGATTTAGAGAGTTTGCGCTCGATATAGTCACCCACATTGGGGGCAAAGTCAAGCAACTGAGAGACAATGTGGGGAAGTTTTGTGAGGGCGCTATCGAGGGTGCCAAAGCGATAGCCGCTGTAGAGGGCGAGGCCAGGCCTCGCAAGGACCTAGTTAAGCTTAAATTCCCGGATGCATATGGAGGGAAGAAGGAAGAAACCTTTGACAACTGGGAAGCCAGTGTCAATAGTTACGTGTATCTACTGCACATCCTGATAGAGGAACAAGTCCTCGTGGCCTTCCAGGCCCTTAAGGATGAGGCGGCTAGTTTTGCCAGGTCCCTTGTGCGCGCAGCTGGTTATGAAAACAACCTGGTTGCATACTCAAAAGTCACCCCCCTTCCTCAATTCTTTAAGCTCCTGAGGGAGCGGTATGCTGATCCAATGAGAGGCGCCAGGGCCTTTGATAAGTTACAAACGATCCACTCGCGACAGTGGAGGAGTGCAAGGGCACTCAAGGGCACCATGGATGACTTAGCCGTCCCAACCGCAGTTGGTTCAATTATTTTATCGTGCCATGCCAAAGCCCCTGAGAGGGCATTTCTTTGACAAATCTCAACAGGCCGGCATCACTTATGATGCATTGAGTAGGGAAGTGGTCTTGTATGAGTCGAAGTCCATGCCAGTTTCCACTTTTTGGCATATGGACCTGGACAAGGGAAAAAGGTGGAAAGATCGTACCATCTCAGGCCAGGTGAGGGCCAAGGATCACATGATCCTTACTTTAGAGGAAGGTGGTACAGATGAGGTCCCATACAGTCAGATTGAGTGGGGCCTAGAGGAGGAGGATAGTAGTATGGGGCAGGGGAGGTCCTATGTTGCAGTTGCGGCTGGAGGGAAGCCGCAAGGTAGAGGAGGAGGCCAGGGCCAAAGGGGCCAGGCCATGGGAGGCCGAGGACCGGGCGCACAGGGGGTTGGCAGACAAGGGAACTGCCAAGTGGGAGGTAGGGGTCAAGGTCCCCCGCCAAATCGCCATGGTTCTAATCGGTCCCCATAACGACGAGGTAGAAGGGCACCTCAAGGAGGATGGCACCCAGGCTTGCCACAGGGCAGGCCCTGGGAGGATTTGGGCTTGGACCAGCGTTTATGGCAAGAACGCGTGGATTTGGGTCAGTGCGTGTTTTGTGGTGACCCGGCCCACGTTATTAAATTTTGTCCTAAGTATAGATAGGCCCATTGGGCTGCCCAACAGTCAAAAGGCAGCTGCCAGTAGTGGTCGCAACTGCCCTTACTTCAAGGCCATGTGGGGAAGCGAGCGCGCGCGAACAGGAAACTCCCAAACCACATGAGCCTATGGCAGAGGTTGCAGGCCCGTGCCTGGCTAGCTGTCCGGAGACTGCTTGTGTTAGCGTCTCTTTAGGCACGTCCCTCACAGGCGTGGCAGAAGAAGTGAAGGAGAGGATGCCAACCTGGGCCAAAATGAAGAAGGAGAGTAAGGGACAACTGATCTTAGTAGACGTAGAGGTGTTTAGAAGCAGAGTAGGAGCCCTTATAGACTCAGGGGCCACCCGTAGTTATATTAGCCGTAGAGCGCTGAAGAAGCTGAGGCTAGGACTAAAAGTCCAAAAGTTAGCAGACCCCATAGTCAGTGTCCTCGCAGACAACCACGCAATGGGTGTTGAGGACTGCGTAGAGGGAGTCCAGGCGTACTTTCACCTAGAGAAGGATGGGAAGGTGGAAAAAGTTCTCCATTCCCTGACTCTCCTCGTTCAAGATGACCTTCCTTTTGACGTAGTATTAGGAATGGATTGGGGAGAGGCAGCAGGGGCCACACTCCGCTTGAGAGAGCATGCGTGTAGGCTCCCTAGTCCATCAGGCGAGGTTAAGACTGCCCGCCTGTTCCATGTGTCAGGTGTAGACAACACCTTGGCGCATTGCTGTCTCAGTGCTCCCGCGTTCGCGCGACTAGTGAAAAAGGAGCCGTTAGAGGACCAGGTCTTTGTAGTTTATGTTAGACCTGTCACTGAGGCCAAGAATAGCCAGGCTGCAGGAGGAATTCAAAGACTTGACTGAGTCAACGACATGAGTAGTGTCGCGACCCATCCAACACAGAATAGAGATAGAGCCCGGCAGTAGAACTCCTAAGGGAGCAATTTACCGGATGCCTCCTAGAGAATTAGAGGAGCTGCGCAAGCAGTTAGACGAGCTCCTCGAGAAAGGTTGGATCCGTCCCAGTTCGTCTCCTTTTGGAGCCCGAGTTCTCTTTGTCCCCAAGAAGGAAGGAGAGCTTCGTATGTGCATAAACTATAGGGGTTTGAATGCGGTTACTGTGAAGAATGTTGAGCCGCTGCCCAGGATAGACGATCTTTTAGATCGGGTGCAGGGTTGCAAGTACTTCTCTAAGATAGATCTGAAGTCCGGATATCACCAGATAGAAGTCCATCCTGATGACCAGTACAAGACTGCATTCCGAACTAGATATGGGCATTATGAGTTTATAGTGATGCCCTTTGGACTGACTAACGCGCCAGAGACGTTTCAGCGATGTATGAACGATCTGTTTAGGCCGTGGTTAGACAAGTTTGTAGTAGTTTATTTAGATGATATCTTAGTTTTTAGTAAGACCCTCCAGGAGCATGAGGGTCATCTGAGGCAGGTCTTGGAGAAGTTGAGAGAGTCAAACTTCAAGATCAACGCGAAGAAGTGCGAGTGGGCCAAGACACAAGTCTTGTACTTGGGCCACGTATTAGACGGGGATGGGATTAAACCTGAGGACAGCAAGAGAGCGGCAATCCGAGACTGGCCGACGCCCCGCAAATTGACAGAGTTGCGGTCATTCCTAGGCCTAGCTAACTACTATAGGAAGTTCGTGAGGAACTTCTCTACCATCACCGCTCCCTTGCGCAGGTTGCGAAAGAAAGAGGCAATCTGGCAATGGGATAAAGACTGTACGTCTGCGCTAAAGAGATTAAAGTGCACGTTAATAGAGTATCCTGTCCTCAAAGTAGCTGATCCGTCCTTGCCATTTGTCGTCACCATGGACGCGAGTCAGTATGGTATAGCCTACGTGTTGCAGCAAGACGACGGCAATGGCTATAGACCCGTAGAGTTCATGTCAGCAAGGATGCCCTCAGAGAAGGTAGCCACCTTGACGTATGAGAGAGAACTCTACGCTCTCAGACAGGCTCTAGAGCACTGGAAGCATTACCTGCTTGGGAGGCACTTCAAAGTGTATTCTGACCATGAAACACTTAGATGGTTAAAGACCCAAGCCAAGATGACACCTAAGCTAACTAGGTGGGCTGCTGAAATAGACCAGTATGACTTTGAGCTTAAGCCAGTGAAGGGCAAGTACAACGTAGTTGCGGATGCTCTGAGTAGGAGATCAGACTACTTTGGAGCCATAGTACACTATCTAGATATAGGGAGAGACCTGCAGGAGAAAGTGAAGCAAGCGTATGCGCAGGACCCCATCTATAGTGACCTCCTAAAGAGAGTTAGCGAGGCCCTAGAGACTAAGCCAGATTACCGCACTACCGAGGGATTACTATTTGAGAAGACTAATGTGTTTGACCGCCTGTGCGTTCCCAACAGCGAAGAGATCCGCAGTTTGATTTTAGGGGAATGCCATAACACAGAGGGACACTTTGGTCGGCAAAACACATTAGCCAATCTGATGCGTGCGTACACCTGGCCAGGGATCAAGAATGACTGCATAGAGTATGTTCGCAGTTGTAAAGTGTGCCAGAGGAATAAGACTACTACACGCGTGCCCTTAGGTCTTCTCAGACCGCTGCCTATTCCTGATCAACCTGGAGACTCAGTGTCCATAGACTTCATGGATACTCAGGTCAAGAGTAGGCATGGCAAGAGCCAAGTCATGGTCATAGTTGACCGTTTTAGCAAGTATGCCGTTTTTGTTCCCTTGCCCGCAGAGGCACGTACGGATTTAGTGATACAGAAGTTCTTTGACTTCTGGGTTAGTGAGAATGGAATCCCATTGGCAATAGTTAGCGATAGCAATAGAGACAGTCATTTCACCAGCCAGAACTGGCAAGAACTCGTGAGAGTCTATGGATCTAAGCTATTGATGTCGTTTGGCCACCATCCAGAGACAAACGGTCAGACTGAACAGATGAACAAGATCCTACAACAAGTTCTGCGCATGTACATTAGACCTGATCAGATCAACTGGGACGAGATCTTGCCTAAAGTAGCTAGCGCATACAACAACAGCGTGCATTTGTCCACGTGTCGCACTCCCAATGAGCTGCACAAGTCCTTTAGGCCTCGCAGACCATTCGAAGGACTGAACCGGGATCAGATTCACAGGCTACCGCCCAGTACTGGGGAGTTTGCGATACAGCACGAGAAAGAACTAGCAACAGTTGTAGAGAACCTCAGGAAGGCCCAGCACAGAATGATAGAACAGGCCAATAAACAGTTTCAGGTAGGCGACTTAGTCTGGGTCAAGGCTAAAGAGTTTGCACCTGAGGAAAAGATCTTGCAGAAGTTATTGCCTGCATGTAGAGGACCGTGGCCGGTTCTAGAAGTTAAGGGCGGAGAGGATGGACCGTCCTACACTGTAGAGACTCCAGCACACCTCCACACGTACCCTGTGTTTCATGCTTCAAAGCTGCTGCCGTGTGTCACAAGTCAACAGTTCCCTTCAAGAAGATCCATGATCCCCCCGGATATGGATGGAAGCTATGACATTGACGGCATTGTAGATGAAGATGTCTTTAGAACAGGAGGTAGAGGTCGTCCACAGAAACAGTATAAGGTCCGGTTTACTTATCAGGAACCGGAGGACGACCGCTGGTTTACTAGGACAGATCTTCTAGAAACAGCTCCCGACATAGTCAGAGCCTTTGAGCGCGACAAGAAGGGTAAAGGTCCTGCCTTGGACTGAAATATTCTCGGAGGACGTCAAATTTAGGACGGCGGGAGTGAAACGGTTTTCACCTTTTAGCAGTAGCAGATGCAGTACCCAGGGTTCGATCCCTAGACCTCGCCCTACCCATGTACAGTACCGTTGTAGACCCCGAGAGTTGAACCTGTGACCTGTATATTCGTAGACAGTTGGTAGGTCTGTCATAGGTCCATAGGTAGCAGGGGTTCGATCTGTAGGTCTATAGAGTAGAACTCTTGGCGAGTTCCAGAAGTCTAGCTGTAGTCCTTCTAGAAGGTCAGCAAATGGGCAAGTGGGCAGGTGGGCAAGTGGTGAGTCAAGCGGTGGACTAAACTGCAGTGCAATCGCAGTACGACTACGGTAGGTTAGCAGTGAGTCCACAGTCAGTCAGCGGTAAGGTCCAGTCAGTCCCAGTCCAGTCCTGCAAGTACCATGGGGGACTGTGGCACCATGGGCCGATGGAAAGGGGCAGACCACCGAGTTTCAGAAGTATAAATCAAGAGGCAGCGCCCAGCCATTCATTCATTCCTGCGGGAGCCATGCGGAAGCGCTGCCACAGCNGAAGTATAAATCAAGAGGCAGCGCCCAGCCATTCATTCATTCCTGCGTGAGCCATGCGGAAGCGCTGCCACAGCGACTTGTGCAAGGAGGTCTGCAGTGAGCCCGGAGGACGCAGTGGGCGAGAGAGGAGGAGCTTAGTATAGTGATAAGGCAGAGGCAGCCATAGCTGCCATAGCTATAATTAGTGTGAAGTGTGTGTGTGTGTATGTGTGAGAGTTCAGATTGACGCGTGTGGGATATCCAGGGTGATCCCGTGTATGTGAACAGCGAGTTGTTTGGGCGCTGAGTCGCCATAGCCAATTGGAAGTGAACTCGTATCTGGATGTCATATCTCTGAGTTTTGAGTGGTCGCATGTCACCAGTTTGCTGCGCTGCTGTTTACATGCATGAAAAGTGTGAATAAGAACGAGTCTGATTGCAGATAGACAGATAGAGATAGATAGATAGATAGATAGATAGATAGATAGATAGATAGATAGATAGAGAGAGAGAGAGAGAGACGATGAAAATGGATATGAGAGAGAGAGAGAGAGAGAGAGAGAGAGAGAGAGAGAGAGAGAGAGAGAGAGAGAGACGCGATGGAAATGGAGATGTGGGAGAAGTTTGAACGGAAAGTCTGGAAAGCAATAAAACGCCCAAAGAAGAGAGAAGAGAGAGAGAGAGAGAGGGGGAGAGAGAGGGAATTGCTGGAAAGCGATAAAACACCCAAAGAAAACAGAAGAGAGAGAGAGAGAGAGAGAGAGAGAGAGAGAGAGAGAGAGAGAGAGAGAGAGAGAGAGAGAGAGAGAGAGAGAGAGAGAGAGAGAG